TGGAAGCAGAATTTACTGTTTTGCTAGACTGGGCACAGAGACAGTAAAGCAGGAATGATGGATTTGTGTCCTCTTCTAGAAACTCTTTGGCTACGAGATGGCAGAATTTAAAGTCACCATGAAGTTTCTGTGGAATTCTGAGACGGGAGACTTCCAGAAGCTCGTGGGAGATGCCACAGAGGAGGAGGAAGAGGAGGAGGATGATGATGACAGCAATGAGGACTAACAGCTTGGACACCAGACAGTTCTATTTTAGGGACAAAAAGAGGAGGATATTTCCATTCCCTGGGTACACCTGGACTGGCATGATCTTTATAGAAAATGACCCACCTATGCTTTTTTTATATTTATATAAATATCTATGTGAAACTTCAGATGGTTGCTGCTGCTGTTGCTCTTGTTTAGTGATGGTGGATCCTGGGATCTGAGGAAATGCCAGCTCAAACATGAAAACTGGGCAGGAAGGGCGTAAATGTAATGGAATTTTGATAGAGCACAAAGGGAAAGATGCTGAGGGTTTGTTATTCTGACACAGAAGAAGATACTCAGCTCAACCCTTGGAATTTTGCCTTATCCCTGCAAGTGTCCAAGGCCAGGCTGGATGGGGCTTAGAGCACCCTGGGATAGTGGAAGGTGTCCCTGCCTGTGGTAGGGAGTGGAACAAATGAGATTTAAGGACTGTCCAACCCAAACCATCCTGATATTCTGTGATTCCAAGTCCCAAGTGCTGCCAAAGAGATGACAGGTTCCAGGCACAGGTCAGAGATGGGCTCTGCACTAGAAAGAGATTTTATTCTTCTATGTAATTATTTAAGATTTCACATTAAAGCAGAACAGGGGCCTTCACCTCGTCAAGGTGTTCATTTTCCTGATCAGCTGCATCCTGAATCACGGGCTGTGCTGGGGGAGCTGAGGGGCTGCGAGGGAGGATAAGGCACGGGTGTGGATCCTACAAAGCTTCACTGATTCAGGAAAAACCTGCAGCCCTCCAGCCGTGGATAGGAGAGCAGGGTGGGCAGCACCTCTCCCAGTCTGCAGAGCCTGGGCTGGGTGTGCCAGCCTTCCCTCCCTAGCGGAAGTAGTTGGGGCAGTCGTGGGCACTCAGGTTCCAGGCCTCGTCGAACGCCTGCACCACGGCTGGCAGCAGGGGACCCTCCTCGCTGTAGTTGAGGTTCTGCTCCAGCTGCTCCATGTTGGACATCCCAATGATCACTGCATCTCCAAGAGAACCCTGGGAACAGATGGGAGGTGTTGCTGATCCCAAAAGAAAGTTCATTTCCCGAGCCACTGCGGGCCAAACAAAGCGTTTCTTTCCACTAAAGAACATCCAGGAATTAAGCAACTGAGACCACAAATTCTGCTCACTAGGCCAGGACATTCCCAAGGCACCCCAAATCCTTAGAAGCTGCCAAATCCTACTTTATGATGGGCTCCAGGAACATTTGGGGAACATCAGGAATTCTAAGCATTAGTTTCCTAGTCCAGTGAAAGGTGAGTCCTCTCCTTGCAGGGAAGCCAAGACCCCTAAAATCTTCCACTTGAAGCTGCCAGTTCTGACCACATGGGAAAAGGCAGAGCTGCCTCACTGCCACGGCCGGGCAGTCTGTACAGCAATATTCCCTTTGGAATGCCACAATCCCACAGGATTAAAAGACACCTACGCTGAAATTTCCCTGTTTGTGAGTGCTGGCAGCAGTGCCCAGTCAAGCTCTCACCTGCAGTTTGGAGTGGTTGTAGAGCCAGCGCAGTGCAGCAGACGTCAGGCTGGGTGCAGTGGAGCCATAAGCCTCTTTCAGAGCTTTTTCTACCAGTGCAATTCCCTCAAAATTGTGTTTTTTCCAGTACCTGCCAAAAAAACCCCATTGTAATTGCCCTTGGGACCTCTAGTCAGTGGTACATCTATATTCCAATCAAAAGGCTTTCAGGAAGCCTCACACAACTCTGTAGCCTCTGAGGACTTCTGCAGTCTCCCTTGGGAGCTGTGAGGAAGCTGAGCCTAAAAACCACCCTGCAGAGCTCAGTCACACACCACAGCCCCAACCACGTGTGCTGACATAACCCCAAGCTTTGGTCAATTCTGCTTCCTCTAAGCTGACTATTAGAGTGTTTTTTTCATGCAGCCATTCCTGCTTGTCTGTCAGCTCAGGACATACCTGTCCCTGTAAGCCTGAGCCCAGTCATTCCCAAAAAATCTCCCGGTGGGCTGGCGCGTGTCTTTGTCCTCGTACTTGTACTTGCCGGTCAGCAGCCCCCCTGGGAGGGAAGGGAGCAGCAGCTTTGGGGATGGGCTGGCTCTGCAGAGCCCCCATTCCTCAGAGCTTTGTCCCAAGCCTTGTCCCTGTACCCTGTACCTGCCAGCGGGTTGTAGGCGTAGAAGCGCAGCCCGAAGTGCCTGAGGCAGGGGAACAGCTCGGCCTCCACCTGGCGCGTGGTCGCGTTGTACATTCCCTGCACGGGGTGGGAGACAGCCTCACACAGAGCTCAGGGCACAGCAGCTGCCTCTTCCCACCCTTCCCTGGCAACACCCATCCCAGAGAGCAGCCTCAGGTCACACAAGGTGATGATTTGCTTGGGAACAAACTCGCTGAAGGACTGCCACTAACTGAAGTTCCATGGCAGGGGAGTCGCTGGCTCCAGCAATGAACACACTGAGCTGTTTCTGAGCAGTGACCTCGCTCAGCTTCCTGGACTTCCTCACTGAAAGGGTGCTCAGGCCTTGAAGGGGCTGCCCAGGGAGGTGTTGGAGTCCCCATCCCTGGAGCTGTCAAAAGAAGGCCTGGACATGGCACTCAGAGCTCTGGGCTGGGTGACAAGGTGGGCACTGGGCACAGCTGGGACTGGAGGTCTTTTCCAACCTCAATGAGTCTGTGACTTCCCAGACTAACTGCAGCAGATTCCTTCTGTGTTTATGTGGCAGACTGGGGCTGGTCCTAGATTTGGGGAGCCCAGATCCAAGCTTCCCCCCTCCCTCACCTGGTACACAGTTGGCATCACCCAGTTGTTGTACTTGCAGATGGTGCAGATTTCTGCCACCTCCCACGCAGCATAGTTTGACAGGCCAAGCTCTTTAAACTTCCCCTGCAGAGGAATAAAAGGGAATTCACTTCCAGTGTTTCAAAGTTCATCTGGACGCAGACAGCACAAGATGGGTACAGTGAAAAGGACAGTCACCAAATTTTAGTCCAGAAGGGTTAATTCCTGTCCACCTTTTCTGACAGACTATGAATTATTAAGACATGACAAAAATATTCTGTTCATTTGGAATTCACACCTTCTAGTTTAAATGATATAACCAGGTAAACGAAACTCAGGAATTCCTTACCCATTACCAGCACTAATCTTAACCCAGACTGTTAACAGGGCTGGAAGCAAAGTCCAGATGTTCCAAGAGCTCTTGGGAACAAAGTGCACCACGTGAGCACACAAAGAGCAGTGGCTGCTCAGCTCTGCCCTGGGCTCTGTCTCTGCAGAGCTGCACAAACTCAGCGCTGCAGATGGGCACAACAAACAGCCCTGGTTTAAAAGAAGCAGTGGGAAGGAGGGAATCAAGGACTGCCCAGGCTTGGACTCTGCACTTCACCTCTTTGTGCAGCTCGTTGCAGGCACGCAGGGTTTCCTCCACCGGGGTGCCGTGGTCAGGAGCGTGGAGGTAGAAGAGCTCCACACTCGTCCTCTGCAGCCTCTCCAGGGACGTGTCCAGCTGGGAGCGCACACTCTCCGGCTTCAGCGTCTTCCCATCCCACGGGTTGGCCTTGGTGGCCAGTTCCACTGGCAGAGAGAGGAGGAATGAGCAATGATGTTTCCACCTTGAGGAGGGGAGTGGGGACAAGTGATATAAGTGTTTGAGGTGTTTCAGGGAAGGTGCCTTTGCTCAGGAATCCCATCAGCCTGGCAGAGGGGGCTCTTCTGTGCAGGGACTGAGGGTCTGCCCCAGGCAGGGGAGGTCTGCTCCTCAAGGTTTTGGGATTCAGCACTAGCACAGGGGTCCCTTCCCCTCAGGCATGGCATCAGCAGGGAAAACTCTTGTCCTAAGGGGATGGGCCTGGGGCAAGTCCATTTTCCTTGAGGAGGGAGTCAGCCAGGCAGAGAAGATCCCTGTCCTCAGGGAATGGACTCTGGGGACCGCCCTTGTCCCTGGGAACGGCCTCAGACTGGCAGGGATGACCCTTCTCTTTCTCCTTCCCCAGGGAAGTGCCATCTCCTCAGGGAGGCAATAGCCTAACAGGGAAGACCCTGCTCCTCAGGGAACGAGTCCTGGGCAAGTCTTGCTTCCTCAAGGACCGTGTCAGCCTGGCAGAAGAGCTGAGCCCCTCTCCCCAGGGACGACCCTCCTCAAGGGAGGACCCTCTCCTCAGGGCACAGCTCCCAGCAAGTCCCCTCTCCTCAGGGCAATCCCTGCTCAGGAAAGACCCCTCTCCTCACAGAAGGAGTCCAGGCCAAGTCCCTTCTCCTCAAGGACAGTGTCAGCCTGGCAGAAGAGATGAGCCCCTCTCCTCAGGGACGACCCTGCTCAAGGGAGGACCCTCTCCTCAGGGCACGGTTCCCAGCATTTCTCTCCTCAGGGAAATCCCTTCTCCTCAGGAAAGACCCCTCTCCTCACAGAAGGAGTCCTGGCCAAGTCCCTTCTCCTCAAGGACAGTGTCAGCCTGGCAAAGCGGCCCCTTCTCCTTAGGGCAGCCCCTCTCCCCCGAGGGCAGCCCGCCCTCCGCCGCCCTACCGGGCTCGGTGCCGCCGGCCAGCAGCGCGCCCAGGATGCGCTCGGACTCGCCGTTCGCGTACATGAAGGCGGTGTCGACGAGGCGGTATCGGCGGCGCAGGAAGGCGCGGAGCAGCTCGGCGCTCGCCTCGGGCCCGGCTCGCCGGCCCATCTCCATAGCGCCCAGCACCACGGCGGGCCGGGCCCCGCCGCCCGCCACCGCCGCCATCGCCGCCCGTGCCGCCATCGCGCCTGCGCGGCTCCGCCCCGCCCGGCCCCTCACACGGCGGGGCCGAGCCCGGGCACACCGAGCTCGGGAGAAAACAGCGACTTCGGGGAAGGCAGGGCTGGGAGCCCGCGGGGAGCGGGGGGAAAAGCAGCGACTCTGTGAAAAGGCTCGCTGATTTCACGCCGTGAAAAATTCCTGGTGTCCGGCAACTTCCTGAGAAAGCGGCAGAGGAGCGGCGGGTTTGGGACAGCGGCGAAGGAAACCCGGCAGGGTTTGAGAGAGCAGCGAAAGAAACTGGGCAGGGTCTGGGACAGCGGCGAAGGAAACCCGGCGGGTGTCTGAGGAGTTGTGGATTCGCAAAGAAAAACGGCCCAAGTTTCAAAAAGAGCGGGTTTTCAAGGAAAAGTACAGTTCCGAACCGCGTCGGTGAGGAGGCGAGTGCCGGGTGCTGCGAGGACAGGTTGGGTTGATTTCGACTTCTTTTATTTATTCTCCCCACACTTTTTTTTCACTGTTCCTTTTTTTCTGCTTCTTTTTTTTTTTTTTTCTTTCCCGCTTCCATTTCCTTTTTTCTTTTCTTTTTTTTTTATTTTTTTCCCTTCCCCCCCTTCTTTTCCTCCTTTTTCCCCCTTCTCTTTCTTCTTTCTTTCTTCTTCTTCTTCTTTCATTTCTTCTGTTTCTCTTTTGAGGCCAGACGCTGCCAGGCTGGCAGCAAACCCAATAAAAGTGAATTATCCACTAACGATGCATTTTTGCAACATGAGCCAGTACCCGGAACATCCCCAGACCTGTCCCTCCCACAGATCTTTCGTTCCCCATTGTTATTAAATTTTCTCTGTGTTATCCAGGCAGTTCCATGGCTGCGCGGCGCTGGAGGGGTCTCCCCTCTGGGAATGTCTCTGATTGTCCCAACGGCTCCCGCTGGATCATGGATGTGTTCCATGAGTGTGCCCAGGACAGCCGGGATGTCGCCAGCATCGTCCTGGGGCTGGGCTCCATCGGCTGCTTCATCGCCGCAGCCTTCCCGTGAGTGCCGCTTCCGAACCCCTGGGTACCGCTCCCAAATCCCTGAGTATCGCTCCCGAATCCCCGAGGTTCCGCTCCCGAATCCCCGGGGACCGCTCCCAACTCCCTGAGTACCGCTCCCGAATTTATGGGGACCGCTCTTAAATCCCTGGGTAGGGCTCCCTAATCCCCTGGGTACCGCTCCCGAATCCCTGAGTATCACTCCCGAATTTATGGGGACTGCTCCCAAATCCCAGAGAGCCGCTCCCGAATCCCCGAGTACTGCTCCGGAATTTCTGGGGGCCGCTCTCAAATCCCTGGATAAAGCTCCCGAACCCCCGGGTGCCGCTCCTGAACCCCCGGGGACCATTCCAGAATCCCTGGAGACTGCTCCCATATTTACGTGGACCGCTCCCAAATCCCTGGGTATGGCTCCCAAATTCCAGGGTACCGCTCCCAAATCCCCGAGGCTGCCCCCTCATCCCGGGCAGCCCTTCCCGCGGGATGGCAGACACCCTCTGGCAAGCACAAGGTGCCAGAATCAGTAAATCCCCGCGGCACAAGCAGCGAGGGCTCGGCAGATCTCGGCAGGGTGAGGGGAGCGGGCAGCGCAGCCCCAGAGCCCGGTGGTGGCCGCGGTGTTGTTGCCGTGGTGTTGTTGCCGTGCTCGCCAGCCGGGAATGTCCCACGTCAGGCACGTGCAGGCCCGGCAGGACAGGTCACACTGCAGAAGGAATGTCCCGTCCCCAGGAGCCCTGGGGTACTTGGAAGTGCTGACACAGGGGTGGCAGAGAGGCACATGAGGAGTCACGGCTCTTTCGCAACCAGAGGGGAGGATCCTGCAGCTGGGATCATCCTCCCCTCCCTGGGATCATCCTCCTGCTCCTCCCACAGGGCACTCGGTGAGGCCGGTGGGGCTCAGGAGTTCTGCCTGGGGCCAGGGGAGCGTGGGGCCTTGCTTTTCCTCCCGTGGCTGCTTTGGGACCCACAGAATGCTGGGGATGGCTCCCAGGTAGCGCTGAAGGCGCTGAGGTGATGTTTGCTCCCCTGCCCAATGCCCTGCAGGCAGTTCTACCAGGCCTGCAGAACGGGCATCATGGACCAGGCTCTGTCCATCTATTTCCTGCTGGGATGGCTGGGCGGAGACCTCCTCAACCTCATCGGCTCCTTCCTGGCTGATCAGCTGCCCCTGCAGGTACCGGGCCCCAGCTCCAGGGAGGACGGAGGGGCTGGCAGCTGCTTTATCCAGCACTGGGAGCCCGAGAGCCAAACTGCCTGGGATGCTCCCTCTTTGGCCCCTAGAAATCCTCCCCTCTCCCATCCTGGGATTGCTCCCTTTTCCCCTTGGGTGTGGTCCATTCTCTCCCAGGGATGCTCCCTCCATCCTCCCTGGGGATGCTCCCTCCATCCTCCCTGGGGATGCTCCCTCCTTCCTCCCCAGGGATGCTCCCTCCATCCTCCCTGGGGATTCTCCCTCCTTCCTCCCCGGGGATGCTCCCTCCAACCTCCCAGGGATGCTCCCTCCATCCTCCCTGGGGATGCTCCCTCCATACTCCCTGGGGATGCTCCCTCCATACTCCCTGGGGATGCTCCCTCCTTCCCCTCTGGGGATGCTCCCTCCATACTCCCTGGGGATGCTCCCTCCTTCCCCTCTGGGGATGCTCCCTCCATACTCCCTGGGGATGCTCCCTTCTTCCCCTCTTGGTGTTTTCCCTTCTCTCCCAGGGATGCTCCCTTCTTCACCCCCGAGTTACTCCCCTCCCTCCCTCTGGGGCTGTTCCCTTCTCCACCCCAGGACACCCTTCTCTCCCAGGGCTGCTCCCTTCACCCCAGGACACTCCCCTCTCCCCCAGGGACCCCGGGAGGGCAGGGAGCAGCCCTGTGGGAGCCCCCCAGGTCCCCGTGGGTGTCCCCAGCATTCCCCTCCCCACAGGTGTACACAGCCATTTACTACGTGCTGGCAGACCTGGCCATGCTCTCCCTCTACTGCTACTACCGGGTGAAGAACGGGGGCAGAGCCTGTGAGTTGGGGCACAGAGGGGCCTCTGCTGCCCTGGGCACTGGGAGCAGAGAGGGGGGGATTCCAGGGCACTCTGGGACCCAGGGAGATTCCAGGCACTGTTAGTAGATGATGTCTCTTGTTGCTTGCTGGGTTGGTGGTTTGGTTTTGTTTTTTTTTCCCTTGGATAATTTGAGCCCCTAGGAGAGCCAAAGCCAACAAACAGCTACAGGCTGGGCCTGGGCTTCTGCAGGCCCTGCAACCCCCACCCCCCCACGGTGTCCAGGCTGAAAACAACCCCCCCATGAGCCTCAGGAGGCACAGAAACAAATAAATATCCCACAGTTACGTGGTGACTCCACCTCAGAGCTGGGACTCGCAGAACTCCTGACTCAGGCAGTGCTGCAAGGGAAAGGGGGAAGTTTTCCCGCTGTCTTGGGGCCAAAACTTGACAGGGAAGTTCCTGTCTGTCCAACTGGAGTGAAAAGGGAACCTGAGCAGTTCTTGCAGGGTTTAAACAGACAGAGAAAACAGAAAATCCCCTTTCCAGCACTGCTGAACCCCAAACAGGCTCCTTGGGACTGGGGTGATTGTTTAACTTAGACATGTAAAGTTATTGCCAATTGGTATTTGACCCATCAGATCCATGGTTTTGTTAAGTTGGAGAGCTTGCTTACTGAATATGATCACTAAAAATTACTGAAAAATAGTAAATTACTACTAACAAATAAGCCACAGCAGGGCTTGCTCTGGCAGGGATTTGAGAGCGACTTAAGACAGTGAAATCTTCTAGTGGGGATGATTCTATAGAGCCCTGAACCCAAAGAAACCAAGATAGGAGCAGTTTCCTCCCTGATAAGGCACAAATTGGGCACATCAGTGGCAGATAAATCACAGCAGCCACTGCCCCATCCCTTGGTGAGATAAGGGACAGTTCAGAGGTTGCTCAGTGCCTTGGTGAGATAAGGGGGAGCTTGGAGGTTTCTTCAGCCCAGAGGGTCCTGGCAGCCCCGGGGCTGTTGGGGTTGCTGGGCTCTTCCTGATCAGGCTCTGTCTGCCTCTCTGCAGTCCCTGCTCCCATCAATGCAGCCTTTGTGTTCCTCTCCGTGGGGTCCCTGTCCAGCCTCTCCCTCCTGGGCAGTGCCAGCACTGAGGCTCCAGGGGCTTTCAAAGGGAGGTCTCTGCTGTCAGCTCCAGGGGATGAGCTTGGACCAAAGGTGAGCCAGTTCCTGAATCTGGGAGATGGGAGAGAGCTCTGGGTGGGGATGCCCTGCTGGATGCTGTGATCCCAAAAATCCACCCTGGACCCCACCACGTGTTTTGGGGTTAGGGGCTGTTCCCCTTTTAGGGCCAAATTGTTCTCCAGGACTGTTAGAGTCCTGGAGGAAGATGGCACAGGAGAGTGAACTTTTTCAAAGATTCCTCCAAAATTCAGGAACAGTTTGCTGCAGGATTTCAGACATTTCAGGGCATTTTCACGTCACATTTCAAGCATTTCTTTGGCTCTGCTCAAGAGTCAGCAAACCTCACATTTCCCACATCTCTGTTTGCAAACAGACTTTTATCTCAGGTAGCTGAATAGGATGGACAAAAAATGTGGTTCCTGTGTTCAGGGAATTTGTAAGACTTCTCCCCTTTAATTCTTTTTCCAATTATCCACATTTATATATATTACTGAAAATCAAAGCAAGAAAGTGCAGCAAGGTAACTCAGTTGGCTGAACTGAAAGTAGGTTTGTAGAAGAGTTTTGCTCTGGCAATAGAAAAGGACCTCTGAGCAAAGTAAACCCAGTTCCCGTTATAACAGCCTGAGTGGGTATTTTCCCGTGGCAAGGTGAAATGTTAATTACCAGCTGTAATTATCAGCGGGCTGTCAGAGGAGGGCAGCGGGCGCACGCGGGGTGGGTGTGGCCGTGCTGGGGCTCTGAGCACGGGGGCTGGCCCTGTCCCCGCCCCTGCCTTGCAGCCGTCCTCCAGGACCGAAATCATTGGATTTACCATCGGCTCCGTGTCCTCCGTGCTCTACCTGTGCTCCCGGGTGCCCCAGATCTGCACCAACGTGAGTGCCCAGCCTGGCACCCCGGGGCTCCTCACCTGGCACTCCCTGGGGGCTGGGGAGTCTCCTTTTCTCCTTTCTCCCCTGGAGGGTTCTCCTTTCTCCCTGGGGGAGCTTCTCCTTTTTCCTCTCTGCTCAGAGGTCCCAGGCCCCATCTCTGATCATTCCATAAGGGACAACTTCTCTGTATTTATTTTTCTCCCCTCCCTTTAACCTACCAATATTTTCAGGGTGGGGCTTTCATTTTGTCTGATTTACAAGCCAAAAGGGAACTAAAAGACTCCCAGCACTGAGTCACCACTTCTCTTTCTTAATGCTGGGGGTGAGCATGATTAATATCATGATTAAATTAATAGTTGTGGAGAGATTTAGGAGAGCTGCACCCAAGCTCCTCTCCTCTCCCTCTTTTCCCAGTACAAGAGGAAATCCACCAGTGGGGTCTCCTACTCTCTCTTTGCCCTGGTGATGCTGGGGAATTCCCTGTATGGGCTCAGTGTCCTCCTGAAGAACCCGGAGCCAGGCCAGGCCCAAGGTGACTACATCCTGCACCACCTGCCCTGGCTGGTGGGCAGCCTGGGAGTGCTGGCCCTGGACGTGGCTGTATCCTTTCCCCAGGGCTGGGATCCATCCTGCCAGGGCTGGGAGGGCTGGCAGGAGGGTGGGGTGCTGGGGGATCTGTGCTGCTGCTCTGGCTGGGAAAGGCTCAGCCCCTGCTTTGCACCGAGCTCCCTGGCCTGCTCCCACCTCTCCTGGCACAATCTCGGGGTGCTGACCCCCAGTGCATGCCCAGCTGCCCCTGTGAGTGTGCAGAGCCTTGACCTCTCCCCAGATCTCCTTCCAGTTCCTGGCCTACAGGAAAGGACGGCCTGGCAGCCTCGAGGAGAGGGGTGCTCTCCTGGGGGAGCCAGATGAGAGCCCCGAGAGCTGACAGAGGGACCTGCCCTGCAGGGAGAGGAGGAGGAGGAGGAGGAGGAGGATGCACATGAGCAAGGTGGCCTTAGGGCTGGCCACACCAGCCCCTCCATCCTGGTGGCTCCTGGCAGCAGAGACCCTGAGCCCATGGGTGACACGTTGTGCTGCCAAGGCAGTGGCAGAGGATGCTGCTGGGACACCTGGTGCCTCTTTGATACCAATGATGCTTTCAGGATCAAAGGGAATTTTTGGATACTTCAGCTGCTCTTCGCTGCTCCGGTGCCCCACAGCTGAGCCTGGTCACTGCTGTGTCTGCCCAGGGTGATCTGGAACTTCCTTGGTGCTGAAAAACGTGGGGAGAGCCTGAGTGGGGAGGGCACAGGAGACTGACGTGCCACAGACACAACCCTGTGGCCTCACAGCTCCTTCAGGGGACACACAGGGCTGGACCCAGTGGGGAAGGAGCAGCAGAACCCAAGTGTTCAGTCCACACCTGTTTTAATTAGCATGGCTCACCCATCTATAAAACACATCTTTCCCCACCTGCCTCCCTTGGTTTCATTTTGCTGCTTTACTTGGCAGCTCCTGCCTCTTTCCTAATGAGTCTCACAATCCCATTCCCTGATTTCTTGTTTTTTGCCTCACCCATGTTTTAATTGCATGGATTCCTTGGGGAAGTTGCTCCATTGCTGTTCCCCAGCAGAAGAGCAGAGCTGCTCACTCTGGTTTTCAGTTCCTGCCCCCTATCCTTAATGAATTTATCCTCATTCTGACAAATTTATCTTCAATCTGATGCATTTATCCTCAGTCTGATGATTTTATCCTCAGTCTGATGATTTTATCTTTAACCTGTTGAGTTTATCTGCAACACTGATGAGTTTATCCCCCTCTGGGGCCCTGAGCTCAGCACAGTGCTCCTCCAGCAGGGAAGGTCAGGAAGCAGGGCTGGGCTGGGAGGAGCTGTGTCCCCAGCAGGACAGAGTGGAGCTGGAGCCAGGCTCCCTCCGTGGGCTGAGCTCTTCCTGCTGGGGATGAGCAGCTCAGTGTCCCTGGGAAAATGAGGAACCAAAGCTTGGAGACCCTTCAGGAAAATGATCACAGCTTGGCCTTGTGAAAACAAGAGCTTTCCTTTTCCTGCAGTTCCTGTCAGCTCTTCTTTGCTTCCCTTTCCCCTCTCCAGTTCCCTTCCTGATACCCAACATTGTGTCCCTTTTGGCTTTATCATTAATTTATGATTCCTCAGCCAGTCCAGGGCATTTGTCCTTCCCAAGGAAGTTACTCTGCTTTGTCCTCACACTGAGGACACCAATCTATGGATCTCACATTAAATGGGATTCCAAGTGCTCAGTGCCCCCCAAGCTGCAGCACCAGGTTCATGGAAACACAAACTGGGCCAGGTCTTGGACTGACCCAGCTGTCTTCAGAAAGGAAATGTAGCTTTCAGTCTCTCTGAGCCACCTGAACCAAGTGAGTTTTTACTGGGTTAATTCACAGCTCCTGGGGATGAGCTTGGACCAAAGGTGAGCCAGTTCCTGAATCTGGGAGATGGGAGAGAGCTCTGGGTGGGGATGCCCTGCTGGATGCTGTGATCCCAAAAATCCACCCTGGACCCCACCACGTGTTCTGGGGTTAGGGGCTGTTCCCCTTTTAGGGCCAAATTGTTCTCCAGGAGACTGTTAGAGTCTAGGAAGATGGCACTGGAGAGTGAACTTTTTCAAAGATTCCTCCAAAATTCAGGAACAGTTTGCTGCAGGATTTCAGACATTTCAGGGCATTTTCACTTCAAACTTCAAGCACTTCTATGGCTCTGCTCAAGAGTCAGCAAACCTCACATTTCCCACATCTCTGTTTGCAAACAGACTTTTATCTCAGGTAGCTGAGTAGGATGGACCAAAAAAATGTGGTTCCTGTGTTCAGGAAATTTGTAAGACTTCTCCCCTTTAATTCTTTTTCCAATTATCCACATTTATATATATTACTGAAAATCAAAGCAAGAAAGTGCAGCAAGGTAACTCAGTTGGCTGAACTGAAAGTAGGTTTGTAGAATAGTTTTGCTCTGGCCATAAAAAAAAAAATTCACAATTCTGCCCCTCAAGATTCACAGGCAAAGGGGCTGCTCACCTCATCCTGCAGCAGCAGCATTTCCTGTCCTGTAGGACATTTCATATCCTGTTTTAATCCAAACCATGAGCCAATCTCTCATCTCTGCCACTCACAACACTGAATAATTGTCACACATGGACTTTTCCTAAAGCTGGACAAAGAACCTCTGCCATAAGGAGGAAAGAGTGTGTGTATAAATATTTCTATATATAAATGTATCACAGAGTCTGTCCCCACAGTGCACCTGAAGCAGGGTTAGGTTCAAAGCTGATTTCCTCTGACTTTCCCTGGGCTGGGCAGGGTGGAGCAAGGGCAGCAGCTGCACCCAGAGCTCACCCCCCCAGCCAGCTCAGGGTGCCTGGGATTCCTGAGGCTCTCCCTGAGTTCCCATCCCTCCCAGGCACTGCTGCAGCCCTGTCCCTCTGTTCAGGATCTTGCAGAGGCAAATGTTAAAGCAGAGAAGGCCAAGCAGGAGCAACCCTCCCTGAGGGAGAGGGTAACTGGGAACCTCAGCAGGAGTCTCTGTCACAGAAACATCTCCAGCTTCAGGAAAGGTTTGTGTTGGGACAGAACTGACAAATCCCAGTGTTCCCTGGAGCATCCCAGCCCTTCCCACCCCGTGTCCCACAGGAGCTGCTGCAGGCTCTGGGTGAACCCTGGCCACGTGCAGGAGTCTGGTGGGCACAGGTCATGGTACAAAAGCAAATTGCAGCACATTAATTAATCCCTGTTAATGCCAACAGCCCCCACTGGCAGAGGCTCACACAGGGCAGCTCCCAGAGCCAGGAGCAGCCCAGCAGATCTTTCTGTGCTTCCCCAGCATTAGGCTTGGTACAACCACAGCCTGCAGCAGGCAGGGAACCCAAAGCTGTGCCAGGTCCCTCTGCCCCCCAAGGGCTCAGGAGGGGACGGTGGGGGAGGTCCCAGTGACACAGGGAGGAGCTTTGGGGTCAGCAGGGATGGCAGGGAGGAAGCAGCCACCCCAGCACAGCCCCTCTGCCCAGGGCTAAACACAGGAGCCCCCAGGCTGCTTCCAGCACAGCTGGGCACACCCCTCTCCTCTGGGCACACCTGCATGGGCATGTGCTGCGTGCCTGGAGCACCAATCCCAGCACCTTGGAAGGGCAGCAGAATGAACAACCCAGGGCCAAGGAGCAGAGGGACATCACAGCCCCTTCCAGACAAACATTTCTGGATGTGGGACAAAAACCAAACCCCAAGTAACCCTGCAAGGAAGGAAGGAGAAACAAGGAGGACACGATCACACAAACATCTTCCTGGGATTTTTTTTGTTGTTTTTATTGTTTTAGTCTTTTTTTTTTCCTTTTCTTTTTTTCCATTTTTTAGTATGGAGGCTCAAGTATCAGATGTAGATTCAATTTAAGCTTTACAAAAAAAAACAAAAAATCAAAACAAAAACCCCTTTTGCATTCCATAAAAATTGACAGAAAAGCGCCTTGGAACCAGGCTATAGAAGAGCAGAACTTTCAGCAGGTCTTGAAATCACCATCTCCTGCACATCTGGGTTACTCAGTATTGTACAACCCCCAGGAACACCCTCTCTTCCCTCCCTCCCTCCAGCCAGCCCCTGTGCCCAGCCCCCAAACATACGTGGAATAGATTATTTTTCTTTTTTTTTTTGTTTTTCCAGTTCTTCCTCTTTCACACACCACAGTATTTAATAAATTTTTGTTTTACATTTTTTACACCAATGTAACAAAAGGCAGGAGGGGTGAGGGAGGAAAAGACAAACAATGATCTGTGGTGATGCATATAAATGGGGGAGGGTGGGAAAAGGGGGAGGAGAAAAAAAATAATACATGGACTTCTACAGGAACATAGCCTAAGGTCTCAATAGTAAAATGTGGTGCAAAGTAGGCCTCAGAGACTGAAAAAGTTTGTACAGCTTTATTCATGGGAGAGGATGGCGCTGCATGGAGAGTATTGGATGCAAATCGTGATGTGACCAACAGAAAAGGGCGGGGATGATTCTCTAGGAAAGGAATCTAACGAGTGCATGGCATGGCTGGTTAGCACTGACAGGACTTTAACTTTGCTGCTTCCTCTTCAAAGCCTCCACCAGGTCGTTTTTAAGAGCTTCTTGTTTTGATTTGTCTGCAAAAGTCTGCACAGACCTGTGGGGAAGAAGGAAAGGGGGGTCAGGGGCAGCGCAGGGCAGGGCAGGGCAGGGCTGGGAGTCAGGAGGAAGGAGAAGCCCCTGAGCCCAGGCTCAGCTCTGCCTGCTGGAGCCCAGGAAGCAGAAGTGAAGTGACCACTCAGTGAGAACACCAAGCCAAACTCACTCTGGCAAGGAAGGCACCAAAGGCTTCCCCAGCAGCTCCGCTCAGCCCCGGCTGCAGGGAGAGTCCCAAGGTTTCTGTTACAGACTGCAGAGCCCAGCATCCCACAGCCAGGGGGGTTACAGCTCCTGCCCCTGCTCCTGCTGCTGCCCCCAGATGCAGAGAAAACCCAGCCCCACCCAGAGAAGGGCTGGGCTGGGGAGCTCTGACCCTTCTGTTCACCCAGGGTCACCTCGGAGCCCCCTCCAGCCTCTGCACCAGGGGAAATGGCAGCTGGAGGTTCTGCTCTCAAATTTGCCTTTTTTGTACCTTCCCTAAGGAATGAGTGATCAAAGCAGCTGAAGAACAGAGACACTGTCACAAGGTTATTGCAGGGATTCCCTTTGCCTGAGAGAACAGAGGAAAAGCTCCACCTGTCAGGAATCACCTGGGATCACTGCCCTGGGAGATGCCTGTGGAGGAAGCTCTGATTTCAATAAGACAATAAGAAATTTCCACTTTTAAAAAGGCCCCTCTTAAATAAATTGATGAATGGGTTCTATCCAGGACCAAACTTTTCCAGAGTGGCTACCACAGAGCAGTGGTAGGATTCAGCTGGGTAGAGTTTCTCCCCACCTAAACCACATTTCACGGCCTTTACAGCACCTGGGAGAGTGGAAGATCTCCCTGCCCATGGCAGGGGGTTGGAACTGGATGAGTTTCAAGGACCCTTCCAACCCAAACCAGTCTGGGATTCTGTGATTCAGAGCAACCTCATTTTCCCTGGTTGCTGTCTCCTGTAAGCAAGGCTGCTCTTTGTGGTGGTGATTTTCCAACCATTTTTGTAACAGTATTTCCATTCTCTTGTCTCTGGAGACTTCTGCTGCTTTAATAAAAACATATACATTTATATTTGCATTTGTCACAGGCTGAAGAAGTGGTTCTTGGCCACTATCAACAAATAGTGAGTTTCCCCCTTCGTCAGCTGAAGTGTTTGAAACAACGTCTGTAACTGGTTAGGAAGGGAGTGGAAGGTTAAGGAGGCTCAGGGTTAGTCACTGCCCTGACACTCAGAGCTCCAGAGCAACGAGCACAGCACCAGATCCCTCTGGAGGCTGTGCAGAGCACGAGCAGGGGAGGCTGGCAATGTCTGAGTGAGCCTGAGCAGGACTGAGGCCCCAGCTCCAGGGAAGCTCAAACTCCAGCAGGCTCACGGGGAAGGTGTGAGGTGAGCACACCTTTACTCTCAAGTCATGGAAGAACCAGAATCTTTTTTTCCAAACTGTGACACTCCCAGGATTTCATTCTGCAGGGAGTACACTGGGATTCCAGGGAATTTCTCCATGAAGTGGAATACCACAGGTGTACAGAACTGCTGGTGCCCAAGGGACAGAGTCCTGGGGCTGCTGGATGGAATCAGCCCAATCCCACAGCACTCCACGTGCTCCTTTCCTGCTCCCAAGCCAGAGTGCAAAGTGGTAAATCCTGCCCCAGTTCCGAGCATGAGGATTCCATGAGGGAGGAGAAAACACTGAAAACAAGAACCCCAGCACTGAGCCAGCCCCAGGAGGCTGGGCTGGCTGCTCCCTGTGGGATTAGGGGTTAGTTCTTCCCGTTACCATGCAGGGGCTGGGCTGGTGAGTCCTGGTTTAGTGCTGGCTCACACCTCACAGGCAGCAGGGGTACCTGGATTGGTTTAGTTATCAGGCTGGATGTAGATCTGGCGCTGGGTCAACACTTGAGAAAGTTCCCTCTGCAACTGCTTATACTTTTGGTTGTCAGGAATAGCATCGATAGATCTACAGAGAGCAGTGGGAAACCAGGGAGCAAACAGGGAAAAGAACAGTCAGAAGAACTTGGTAACACAGAGCTGGGGCTCTGGGGAGCTCCAGGGACGAGAAGGGGACACACACAGGAGAGAAGGAGCAGGGACAGGCTGGAGGAGCCTGGGTGGTTCCTGCACACAGGGCCAGGACTCTGAGGGATGGGGAGAGAGCAGAGATCCAACCACAGCAGCTCAAGGCAACGTTCACAAGAGAAGGGCTCAATTACAGATTACCTCTGATGGAATTAAAGCTTCCTGCCTAAACCCTGCTCAGCACAAAGGAAACTGAAGCTGGTTTGTCCTGGGCTTGGGGCAGAACCCAGAACCCCTCCCACAGCTCCTGCTGCTCCCTCTGCCCATACAGCAGCACCAATATTGAATTAACACCATTCTTCTCTCTTCTTCCACATCTCAGTGAGTGAGGGAAGAGCAGAGCATTTATTTGTGCCCTTTGGTTATTCTACATTACCACACTGTGCTGGGAGGTCTCTCTGTACTTTAAAATGAAGTGATTTGGCATCACAGTGATTTCCTCTGTGAGCATAAGAATTACCAGCTTGGGATCTCCATGTCCAATTCCTGTCCAGGAATGAGCAGGGGCTGAACAGCACAGCACAGTTTCCCCACAGAAAGGCACAGGGAATTTAATCTCTTCTCATACACTGTATTTTGACCAGTGGTGTTGAGAGAAAGACAGAATTTAAAACAAAATCTAAATACCACAAACCACTCCTGTCATGACTTAATTCTGGGAATATTTTTAAGGACAGTAGAAAGAGAAGACAGAATTTAAGGACTGTGAATAAAACAAATGAAAAATAATCCAAAAATACAAGTGTTAGTTGGGCTGTTTTACTCCTGGTGAGGAAACAAGTGATTAAAACATTACTTCAGATTTCTGCCACAGAAGAGTTCCCTGAACTCCACACAACAAAAATTGTCCCACAGCACAGGGAGGGGAAAACCAAGCAGCTCAAGGCTGGGGTGGCACTGCAGGGATGCAAAGGGTCCCTTACCTCAGCCCATTGACGATGTCCTTTGTCTTTCCAAAATAAATCTCGTTCAGTGTACTTCTGATTTTGTTTTCCATGTCCTGGAAAAGAAAGCAGCACAGCAGCTCTTCAGTGCCCTCACTGTGTGCAGGGATGCTGCAGCACCAGGGCCACTCTGAGCACAGCCCCTGGAGCACTGCCTGCCCACAGACCCCTGGGCCCAGCCCCTGCTCCCATCCCAGCACTGGGGCTTTGCCAAATTTCCTGAAAAATCCCTTCCCCAGGATTCTTCTCCTGGGAAGCTGAGGAGCCTCAGAGAAAAAGGAAAATAATAATGATCTGATTGCATCTCCTGTGTTTTGCTGCTTTGGAATGTGGTTGGAGATTGTTTATCCAAGAGGTGCCTGTTTGATTGGTGTCATGTGAATTGTTCTGAGTTAATGACCAATCACAGCCAGCTGTGTCAGGACTCTGGCAGCAGTCATGAGTTTTCATTATTATTCTTTGTAACCTTCTGTCTGTATCCTTTCTCTGTTATTTAGTATAGTTTTAGCATAATATAATATAATATAATATAATATAATATAATATAATATAATATAATATAATATAATATAATATAATATAATATAATATAATATAATATAATATAATATAATATAATATAATATAATATAATATAATATAACAGCCTTCTAAGAACATGGAGTCAGATTTCTCAATTCCTCCTTGGTCCTGGGGACCCAGCAAACACCTCAGGCCTTTGTTCCTGCTCTCCCGTCCCAGCCCATCTCCCCAGCTATGGGAGCTCCGTGCACCACGAGAGGGCAGCGTCTCTCCAGCCCTGCACAGAGGGAGCTGCACCAGCCCAACCTTCCCGTGCAGCTCCCGGCCCTGCACGGCTCCAGGAGCCCAGCCAGTCCTGCAGGACAACCAAGAGCCAGAGCTCTGGGCTCAGGAGTGACTTTGAATCCTTGACTTGTTCTTATCAGCTGCACGACAGAGCTCTGAGGGAGATCTTGTAACAAAGCAGCTTTTTTCCATTGCTTTCACTCCAGCAAACAACTTTTAAAAGGGATCACAAAAGAAGCAGCTGCCTTTCTTTAATTTCCCAGTTCCCTAAAGATGCATCAGAGTTGAGAATTTTCTCCTTTCTTGGCTATAACAATGAAGAAAATCTGGGACACTTTCAGTCAGGACAGTGCAGTGAAACAGCAAAGTGGTGCTGCAGCTTCTGAGCAGCTGCACTCCTTGTGCTGAGCTTCCAGGGCAGAGAGCTGCCACCAAACCCAACACCAAACCCAACACCAAACCCAGCTCCAGGGGGTCTCATAAACACTTGATCCACACTGAACTTTCAGTCCAAGGGACAGTGCTGTAGCAACCTGACTCGAAATAATTCTCCCCAGAAGTGGCTGCAAAAGCAAACCTGAGGGTAGAAGTTGTTCCTTGGTGCTCAGGAAGGGAACACCCATTTTCTCCCACTGCAGGGCTGAGCAGGAGACAAAGGGCAGAGGGTGGCTTTGTACCCAGACAGCTGGGAGGGATGGAAGGAGGTGGAAGGACCACACACCCAGCAAGAACAGGAATCACTAAGTTATTTGTAAAGAAAAATGCAACAAAATTGCAAGGAATGGGAGCAACTGTGGGCAGCAGAAGCTGCACTCACCTCTACCAAGCGGCCGATGTTGGCTATGTGTGGGGAGGAGTCACTCACAGTCTCATCCTTCTCCATCTGCAAAGGAAAGCACAGATCCATCCATCTCAGGGAGCTGGGGGCAGGGCAGGGCCCAGCAGGGCTGGGAGAGGGGCAGTCACCACCTCCCCCATGTGCAAACACAGGAGAAGGTGCTGAGAAAGCCCCAGCACTCCCCACAGGCTGGCAGGGGAGATGTGGTGGAATAAAAAGCCAGGAATGGCAAGAGCCCCTCTGCAGACAGGCCCCACAAGAGCCACCCCCTCCCAGCACAGAGCAGCCAAGTGTCCTTTGCAGGAGAAATTCAGAGCTGGAACAACTCAGGGGTGCAGTGACAGCACAGCCCCAGTGCAGGACCTGGACAGGACTCAGCTCCTGAGCCAGCTCAGCTCTTCCAGCCCAACCCCAGAGCTGGGAGCTGCAGCTGCAGCACTCCCTGGATTCCATCTGGCTGTGCCTGATGGAGCACCCAGCCCTGGCCCTCCATGGCCTGTGTGCTGTGGGGGCACCACTTCTGGGTTTCCCTGGCTCTGGGTTGAAGACACTTGAGATGACAGTTCATGTTCAGAGTCAGGTGTTTATTGTTTCTTATCAGTAAAACAGTCTCACTGCTGTGAGTTGGGCAGATTTTCATTAGAAGGCACAAAATGGCCAACAATCTCTTGTTCCAAGGTCTTCTAAGACTAAATTATCCAATTAAGAGCTGACACCTGGATTATTTTCCCTTTTAACCCAATAACTGATCCCAAAGAGCCCCCAATGCAGACTTTTCTGCCCAATCACAAAATGCCACCCAAACCCATGAAGAAGGAGGAAGAAGCATGAAGAAGAAACCCAGGACAGCACCCTGTGCCCTGCATCTTGCTGCCATCCAAAACATACTAAAAATCCCCAAACCTCAATTTCTCACCCAGTGATCCACCTGCACTACTCTCTATAATCTATTTCACACTTTTGTGGATTCCAGTCTATCTTGAAGTCTGGGAAACTTTCTCCATGAATGAGGGTCAGAGTCAGTGCTGCCCTGGGGGTCAGGGCACCCCAGAGCAGACTCAGAAATATTCCCAGAGCCCTGGGTTTCCTCAGTGTGCTCAGCAGAGTCCATCCTCCCCAGCTCCTGAGGTGTAACTGTGGCCAGGACACAGCCAAGTGCTCAACTGTGAACATCAGACCCAGGAACCTCAGCAGGATTTGCTGAGACAGCAAGAAAACAAAACTGGGAGACAAATGCAGTGGGAAGAACAGTCTTCAAAGGATTTCACTAATCCCACTGAATTCTCTCATCCATCTGCTCCTATCCCTCCCTCAGGGCAGAGTTTAAAATCTGGGCCAGCCACAGGTTTGTTCTAATAAGCCAAGGCTGGAACAGGCTTGGGGAAGCGTGTAATTTAGCTGGACCCCTGGAGGCAAGAGATAACCTGGAAGAGGGGGAGAAAGAGCAGCAGGACGTTTCATTTTGCCTTCAGACTGTTTCCATGGAATGGAGACACTGCCTGGAGAAGGGCTCCAGCTGCAGTGCAGGGACAATGCAGACCTGACCTACACCAACACACCCATGGGGAGCTGGAGCCATCAGCAAACTGCCCCAATGTGGGGCAGCTGGGGGCTGGCAGAGGGGCAGGCACTGCCACAGGCTCCCTGCTTGCCTCCTCCACACCTGGACAGGCTCAGCTCTGGTTAAGAAGCAGAATCTGAAAATAGATTTTTTTTTTTAATAAAAAAACCCTGTATATTATTACATGTCCATAAAAACTGCTGCCAGAAGGAAAACATTTTTATGTGCTCTGGAAGGCCAGATGTTACAAGAGGCTGTTTAATGGAGTGCAGAGTCAAGATCAGCCATGTCCTACCAACAGTTGGGTTTTGAGTTGTTGGGGTTTTTAAAGGTTCCTTCCTGTGGCTGGCACTGCTCAGGCTCAGGCAGCAGCAGCACTTCTGCTGCTCAAATAGAGCTGGGTTTGCTCTGAGGGGAAATTCCCACTACAGGCTGAGTTCAGGAGCAGCTCATGCTCCCTGTGGCACTGCCCACTGCCTGCTGGGCTCAGCCAAACCCAGGGGGAGCCCAGGCTGAGCCCAGTCCCAGCTCCTCAGTCTCAGCCCAGTCCCAGCTCCTCAGTCCCAGCCCAGTCCCAGCTCAGCCCCAGCTCCTCAGTCTCAGCTCAGCCCAGTCCCAGCCCCAGCTCAGCCCAGTCCCAGCCCAGTCCCAGCTCCTCAGTCCCAGCCCCAGCTCAGCCCAGTCCCAGCTCCTCAGTCCCAGCCCAGTCCCAGCTCAGCCCCAGCTCCTCAGTCTCAGCTCAGCCCAGTCCCAGCTCCTCAGTCCCAGCCCAGTCCCAGCCCCAGCTCAGTCCCAGCCCAGTTCCAGCTCCTCAGTCTCAGCCCAGTCTCAGCCCCAGTCCCAGCTCAGTCCCAGCCCAGCCCCAGTCCCAGCCCAGTCCCAGCCCAGTCCCAGCTCAGTCCCAGCCCTGGCTCCCCTCCTGGCTCCCCCAGCCATCTGCTCCAGGCTGACTCACAGGGACACTCACTAATCTCACTCCTCTGGGCCATCTCCAGGGCTCCCTGCTCACTTGGGATGTTTCCTGCCCAGAATAAAGCAGCTGCCTGGGCTTTCTGTAAACATTATTTGGAGGAATAATATAAAGAGGGACATTTAAGCTGGAAAAACACTTTGTTTCATCGTGAAAGTGTCTGAAAATACCAGCAAAGGTAGAAGGGAACTCATCCTCCATTTTGCTCTGAAAAGCCAACAACACCCACAGCTGCTCTGGCCACGGAGCAAAGTGAAAATCCCTTTAATGAAACACAAAGAGCAGTGTGTGCCAAGGGCTCCCAAAGCCACAGGCAGGCTGAAGGCTCCAGGTGGAAAATATGTGGAATTATTTGGATATCAGTAAGGCAGAATTTGGCCTGCCCCTCCAGCATTTATTTCAAACTACAAGCAGTAAGTGAAGGCTGTGATCTCTGCAGGGTTGGAGCCTTGTAGGAATCAGCTGAGAACTGAGCCCACCCCTCCACAGAGATTTGCTCTCAGCAGTGTAACCAAATTTCCCATTCCCTTTGCCAAACTGTCCAGCCAAAACCATGGGCAAACCTGGGCATGCTGCACAACCTTCACCTGCCTCCATTGCTCTGCTCCCTTCTTCTCACCTCTTCCAGAACTGAACCTCTGTGAAGTCCACAGGGTCCTCAAAGCCCATCCCACTGCAGCCCTGCCATGGCAGGGACACCTTCCCCTGTCCCAGGTGGCTCTGAGCCCTGTCTGGGACACTGCCAGGGATCCAGGGGCAGCCTGAGAGCAGCCAGGGCTTCCCCACCCTCATGATGGAAAGAGAAGTGAGGCAGCAATAATTCCCTGGACAACCCCTGGCAGCACATCCCTGCTGTCCCTGCACTACAGAGACTCCAGGGCACTGTAACTGCTGAGGGGGAGCTCAAGGACCACAAGAAGAAACCACTGGTGGAAAAACAAAGTTACAACATCTGGAAGTCGGTGGGATGGGCTTTTCCATGAAAGCTGCCCTTGATGGAAATGGATGAGGCTCCTGATTGCTGAGCACAGGGATTTCCCTGCATGATAAATGGGGAATGGCTCTGCTGGGGTTTCACTGAGCAGCAGCAGATGCCAGGGCAGCTCTTCCTGCAGGCAGGGATTGCTCTGTCTGCACAGTCCAGCCTTCATCCAGCTCTGCAAAACCTTCTGCCCTCGCTAGAGAGTGTTTCAAGTTCAAAAATCAACCTCAGTGCTCCTTTCATCCCAAATCTCAGCCCTCAGGAATCAGCCTCCTCATCATCACCCTCAGGAATGGATTATTTTAGTTCCTCTATTTAGTTCCCCATGACTTTGCATCCTCCCCTTCCCACGTCTCCCCATGTAAATAAACTCCAGGACTGAGCCAAGCTCCTGCTCAGCACACGCCCCTGGCCAGGGCACAGAGCCAGGGTCTGTGCAGGGGACACACAGGGGAGGCACCTGCTCCTGCTGCAGAGCCCTTCAGCAAAGCAGGGCTGCTGAAAGTCTGCACAGGTCTGCCAGGAAAGGGAACCCTTCACATCTCCTGTGCACCAGGGGAACAGGACCCACAGCTGCTCTCCCTCCCTCCAGTAAAGGGCAGCCTAATGAAAGCCCCGAGTGCGAGCAACACGAGCGGCTCCAAGGTACAACAGGGCCAGGAGCCCCAGAGCTGCCAGGGAACAACATCTGCCAAACATCTGGCCTCAATCAGGAGGGCTGGGAGGTACCTGCAGTCCCCAGAGATCGTGCAAGGTAATTGAAAAGCTGCTGGCACGTTTCATTTCCCTGCAAGCCCTGCTCCCTGCGTCCTCTCTGGCAGTGTTGATGTAGAACAACGTTTATTCCTAAAAATTCCAGCCAAACCCCCTGGGCAAAGGAGAGGCTGTGCCACACAGAGGCACTCTGCAGCCAGGACCTAATGAGCTTCCAGGGTGAAGATGTCACCTCAACTTTAACTGCCCCAAAGTTTTCAGGGCAGGATTAATCCATGGGTCCTGAGTGCCTAGAGCTGGCTAAGAGCTGATCTGACTCCCTCCAGGTAAATTCATCCCTGCACACACATGAAGCAATTATGCACACAGGTAAATTGTACAAAGGAGTGGATGTGGCAGCACACAGGGGTTTGTGCTGCACACTCCTGTGTGTGTATAAACACCCATTCCTCTACTGGATCAGGACAGAATCTGAAATTCTGTAACTGAACTGATACAGCAAAAGCCTGAAATTCCAAAATGCACCAGGTCAAGTAAATTAAAGCTACACTAAGATGAGCTTTCAGCTTCCCAAAACAGGCCGAATCTTCTCTGTCTCCCACTTTCCTTTTTCTGTCCACTCACAAATGTAAAATGTTTTTTTTCTTCCTAGAAGTAGAGACAACTCATATTGTAGCAGACAAAAAACTGCACTGGGGAAATCAAGGAAAAGTAGTTCAAGGCACTGGAAGAGAGATGTCAACTCCCAGTGCATAAAATAAAACAGACACAGGCCAGGGATGTGACCTCTGAGCAGAATCTGCCCAGGAGGGAGCAGCACGTGGCCCCAAGGCAGCTGTAGAACACTCCAAGAGAACCCCACAGTCCTGGAGTGGTTTGGGTTGAAGGATCAAAGCCCATCCAGTGCCACCCCTGCCATGGCAGGGACACATTTCACTGTCCCAGGCTGCTCCAAACCCCATCCAGCCTGGCCCTGGACACCCCCAGGGATCCAGGGGCAGCCACAGCAACAAACACGAGGTCTTGAGAGAGGAAAAATCCTTCTCAAAAACTGAGGGCAACATTTAGGAACAGCCCAAGTGGGAGCCTTACAGGAAGGACCCTGGGGATATTCAAGACAGGCAGAGTTTTTCCAAATGGCCTTGACAAAGGCAACAAAACCCCCTGGTTGTGTGGGGTGCAGGGCAACAATCTCACCTGCAGAAAACAGCTATTTCTAGAGCCTCACTGCAGCTCCATCTCCACCACGTGGCATTCCCTGAGCTGCTCCTCTCAGGTCAATCCCTCCATCAGCAGCCAGCAATGCCCTGTGTGCAGCCACGAGGCCAAAGTGGTTTTGGAGCAATGGCTCTGAGCAGAGCTCCCTGTGCAAGCACTGAGGCTGCTGTGCCATCAGCTGTGAGCCAGGCCATGAGCAACACCTCAGCAGCTTCCTCTCAAACACAAGGACATCTGCTACTCTCATTTAGGATCAAAGGTGGCCAAGTAAATGCTGACTTAACCAAAACTGTGCAAATTTACCATGGACAAAGTTTTTTCAAAACATCACTGATACCTGTCAAAGTGAAACTGTAACAGGCTATTCAAGATGAAACTAAAACCAACTCTTGGTGGCTCATTTTGCTGCAGGCTGCATAAAAGGCTGATCAAAAAAGGAGAAGTAAAACTTGCAGAGCTTGGGTGATGTGGCACACTGGATTCAGAGCCAAGTCCAAGCCCTGCACTCAGTTTAGTTCAGCTGCAGGTGAATTTCAGCTGGGGACAAACAGCTCCTCCTCACCCAGAACAGCTGAGGGCAGTGTGGAGACTGCAGGTAACTGAAAGGTGAAGGTTCTGCAGTTTCCAGTTTCTCAGGATCCTGTCCCACCCCAGGCTGGGATGTGCCCCAGGCCCCTGTTTGTGCATCCTCACCCAGCACTGCTCCTGACACTGCACCAGCCCTGCCTTCCTGCACCACATCTGCATCCACTGTTCTGCTGTGAAATGCTGACAGGGGCATCAATCTCCCCCTGCAGCTTGGAGAGGGAAAGTCAAAGCAAGCAAGGGCCAGCACTCGGGCCAAGGTGCACTGAGGACAGCCCTTGTGCACAGGCCCTTGTTTGCCTTGGCCCAGCTGCTGCTCAGGGCCATGGCCAGAGTCAAGGCCTTGGCCTGCACTTCACAGCTCCCATTTACAGCATCAGCAGGGCCTGTGATTAAATATTTGTCCGGGTCACCATAACTCGGGTGTAATTACTGCAAAAAGAGTCAAAAAAAGGCTCAAAACTCTCTCCAGATGCCTTTTTCCTTCACTTGCTTTTCCATCAGCTTCTTCAATGTCAACAACATGGAAAGAAAAATCACCCAGGCTGGGGCAAGCTGTGCAAGACTAACCCAGTTTCAGTCCCTCAGCAATCCCAGACCCTCCTTGGCTTCACCTGGCTCAAACCTGCTCAGAACCAGGAGGTTTTTAACAGAGTCTGCATTGTCCTTTGTATGGAAAGCCCCAGTCTGCCCTGGGAAGGCTCATAAAGGAGTTTCAGCTGCTGCCAATCTCTCCAGTCACTCATGACCTTACAATGTGCCTCCTGTCCTGCAGAGTTGATTACTCTGCTCCAGCCACTGACTTGCAGAGCCCAGAGCAAGCCCAGCTCATCAGCAGGGAGGAGAAGGCCCTGGCAGGTGGTGGGGCAGCAGCAGCAGCCTCATCCAAGGCAGCCCAGCTGAGCAGATCCTGCCTGTCAGGGACTGCAGCACTGCTGAGATCTGCCAGCCTGGTGAAAACCTTCCTGGTGAAAAGCAGCTCTCAGGAGGCAGACAAAGTCATTAATGCTGGCACAAAACCCCCAGATGTTTAGGACAGATTTATCTTATTGTTCTAGGAGATTTTTTTAAATCAGTGTTCTGGTACTGCAGGGAGAAAGCACTAAAGGAAGACACCATGTAATTGATGTCCTTAACAAAATCTTACTGTCAGTGCAAAATACAGGTTTGTTCTCAGTGGTTTAGCTGGCTTTTAAAAGAGAGTAAGAAAAGAAGTCATCCTGTATTTTTACAACCCTGTTGGAATCTTCCAGTGAGAAAATGGGCAAATCTTACAGATAAAAAAATCTGCAACACACATGGAAGAATAAAAATTCAGGAATACCAAAAGACACACTGAGACTTACAAGCAAGTCTGAACTCCTGCTGGATGTTTTATATTTTTAATTGCAAGCCCCAAAGTGTCAAGCACAGTTCAAGGGGCTTTCTGCTGATTACCCACTGCATTCCCCATTTCACTGGGCTGCAGAACAGCAGCAGAAGAGATGTTCATGCAACAGCTGACAAAGCCAAGGCTCTGTGCCTGCCTGGGGCTGCCCAGGCCTGAGGAGGACACAGCCTTACCTGTCTGGTGAGGCTCCCCCCCAGGTTCATGGTACCAGAGCCAGTTTTGTTGGTCTGCAGCCACAGCATCACTGTGGAGGTCAGCTTGTAATGGGCAGTGCGGCCACTGGACTTCTCCTGCAAGTGCAAGGGAACAAAAAGGGACAGAGGCAGGGGGTTAAAATCCCTCCTAAAGCTAAATGGGGGCTGGCACACCCCACAAGCAACAGGCCAGGTAAGTCTAACCCCCTCACACAGCACAGCTTCTTACAGACAATTCTAAGTGTGCTCATTCCTCTAATTTTCCAAAGCAAATCTAGTTGGAGCAATTCACTCTCCTAATACCTTGTTTTTATTACCTAATTAGTGATATTTATCTGTAGCTCTTTATGTTAAAAAACCCCCACATCTCGGGATCACATGCACAGAAAGTAACATACTTTCAATTCTTCTGGGATTCTTTTTGATTACAGCCCTGACTTATCTCTATCCAAATTGCTTCGGGGCATTTTCAAAAATTAACAAGGGAAAGAAGTTTACAGCCCTGACACAGTATTGCATTGTTCAGTGGAACACCTGTGCTCCTTAATTGTCTGGAATTAAGTGGGTTTTGTTTTCACTGGGGTGTATCAGCTGCCCCAGAGGCTGTACCTGAACCTCCACCACGTGGATGGAATCCCAGCATCCCTTAATCTTCTTTGATCCATCTCCAGCTTTCTTAATGAGGATCACCCCAGCAAAGCCATGATCCAGATCCCAGAGGTAGACAGAGGAGACTCCACCTTCAAAATACCTGCAGGATGCAACCCAAAGGCAAGTTAAAAGCAAGCAGGACCCAAGCCAGAGTCAGATATCAATAATAATAATCTTAAATAAGCAGAATTTCTAAGTCCTAATACAGATTTGTTTTTTCTTTCAAGACAGCACACTCTCTCAGTTACACACCCAGAAACACAGCACTTCAAATCACTTCATAATGCAGAGACTTTATTGCAAAACAACTGCACATGTCTCTGAGGAGAATAAAGGTCTGGTGAGAAGCAGAGCTATTTACAGATTTCTACAGGACTTGAGCAAACAATTCCTCTGATTCCAATTACCTACAACAGCTGGTAAAAGCACGAGCTACAAAGTGGGCTGAGAGTAAGGCTTTATTTTACAATCTGGTCTTTTTCCCCCTCTTCTCCCTTGCTATTGGCAAAGTCTGGAAGTTCTTTACAGCAAAGTTCACTAATTAAGACAAAAGGGAGCAAGTAAGTAACTTTATGTTGCTGCCTCAAAAGTCTGTGTGAAGCTGACGTTGATTTACTGCAAAGGGAGCTGAACTGGAACCAGGGATCTCAGAAATGGAGAGATGCTGTTGAGGTTTTATTATTCCAGCATCAGGTATGGGGAAGAAGAGAAAATAAGCCAGACTGCCTCAATCTCAGGTGTCTTTTGCTGAAAGTGCACTCAGAAAACCAACCAAGCAATGGGATCTGCAGAGCCCCACTCCCTCTAGGAGACACTGGTGCAGATGGAAAATGCACTTCATAAAATAATGGTAAACAACCCATCTGTTGGAAGAAAGGAGTAATTCTGTCTTCTAGAAAACTGGAATTGCAACCACAGCATTCTACCCCTTCCATTCTCAAGTTACCAAAGCCATGAGGAGGATGAAGGAAAAGGGAAGAATAAATATTCCTTCATGGCACACAACCTCACACTCAGGGGGGACCATGGCACACAAGGATCGTGTGAAAGGAGGAGAGGAAACATCATAAACTTCATCAACAACACGAAATGTTGGTAGTCAGACTTTTCATTGCCTGCAGGAGGGCAAAATCTCATCATGCAAAGACATGAGGAGGTGCCAGGACTGGCAGCTCCCAGGCAGATCAACCTGTCTGAGTCCTGCTCTGTCACACACACGTGGGAGTGACCACTCAGTCCTTCTGCCAGAGAGCAAATCATCCCTCACGGCCAACAGGAAAAATCATCAACCCTGCCCACCTCTGTGCTTCCCTCCTTCCTAACCCTGGGCCTTCCACTTGGGAATGGTGCTTAAAAGGCAATTTACTGCAATTTGGAGTTCCTGGATTACCCCTAAGCACTGTGGGTTAAAGCACACCAACCCCTCCCTTGCCAGCAGTCAGGAGAAAAGACACTGGAAGTGAATTCCAGAGACACTTCCAACACTTCCAGCACATTCCCTGCACCCACAGATCAGCTCATTGCCTTGTTCAAGAGGGCAGAGTCACCAAAGAGCCCCAATTCCCTTTAACTGCAGACACCCAAGCCTTTCCCAAACCACTGCTGACCTCAGGAGGGGTAAATAATTTCCTATAAACTCACCACAGCCTTTTATTTCTAATGGGTGGCTCTGCCTCTCCTCACCAAGCCCAGCCCAGGCAGTTCAGGACCCACTGTCCTGGGGCATTGCCAATCACTGATAACACAGCCCTGGAAAGCAAAGCCCAGCCACACTAAAGCCAGGCTTCCAACAGGCAACTTCAACCTAACAAACCAACAAACACCCTCTTTACATCCCCTGGGGAATTCACAAATGGATTTTGGTTAATGCACTTAAATTCCAGTCCTGCAGTGAACCTCAGCTCCAACCTAAGCCACCCTTCCTTCAGCAGTGGGAATCAGAGGCCAGAGAGAAGCAGCTATTGTCCCTTCTCAGAGTCAGATTCTTTTAAAAAATAGATATAATATATCCTTTTTCATCTACAGAATCAGTGAATTCACTCAAAATGAGCTGGCAGTCACTGAGAACATTACAGTGTGCACAGACAGTTTCCCCATTACCCACTTTATGACCTTGCTACAAGCATGAAACATTAATTAAGAGAGGGACCGAAACAAGGTTTTGGGAAATTTATTCTTACCTACTGTACTTTGATCCTAATGACATGAAACAGGAAAAAAATAATTTTTATGTGGTTCACCTTTATGAGATTTTACATAAAGGCTTTTGTGGGTATTTTAAGAATGTGCTAAAATGTTGTCTGAAACCACATAAAACCATGTGAAGAACCTCCCGCCAGAACCAACAGCGCACACATGGAAACGCTTTCAGGGCCTTTGGAGATCTAATGAATCAAATATAGAATTAATACTGTTTTAAATACCAACATGCAATTTCAATAAAGCTGCTCTGCCATGGCCAGGCCCAGGAACTGGAGGCTGGAACAACAATGCCAGTGACTGAATCCAAGGCACGCCAGGATATACATTATCCAAAGGCTCCCAAATCCCCTCCTCCTTCATGGGGAGGAATATATTGTATATATATATATATATATATATACAATATATACTGCCTTTCACCTTCAAATAGCACTGAAGTGGGATTTCTGAACCTCAGAAAGTCACAGTTGGATATGAGGGGAACATTCCTGGCTTTTTAAAATAAAAATAAAGAGGTGCCACGGGCTAATTGGTCCATAATAGAAAAGGGGATGATAGATTGGGAGGAATTTCAATTGACATTGGTGGATTTGGATTTGCTGCAGGAGGGCTGGGCTCCCTCCAAGAAACTCCTTCACCGTGGACTGAAATGCAGCACATACTGAAATGCAAGCAGGAGAGGAACCAGCTTGGAAAAGGCCCCAGGAAGGCACAAACTGGGACCTTCTCTGCTAAAGAAAGAGAAGGACAAGGCAGAGCAGAGCCACACACAGCAGAGTGCACTGGACACAGCTCCTGCACTGACCACCTCCTGCCTTAGTGTCCTGCTGTGATGCCCCTCCCCTGATCCTCCTGCACAGCTGTGGCTGGAGAAGGCAATCTGTCTTCTTTGGGAGCTGCAATCTCAGAATCCTCGAGGCTGGAAAAGCCCTCTGAGGTCATCAAGCCCAACCATCAGCCCAGCACCACCATGTCCAGCACTAACCCACAGCCCCACAGCTTTTCTGAACACTTCCAGGGCTGGTGACTCCACCACTGCCCTGGACATCCTGTTCCAATGCTTTATAACCCCTTCCCTGAATTTTTTTCCTAATATCCAACTTAAATCTCCCCTGGCACAAGCTGGGAGGCCATTTCCTCTTATCCCCTGGAGAAGAGACCGACCCCCATTTGGCTACACTGCCTGTCCCAAAGCAGCCAAGCAACCAGCAGATGCCTTTGGGATGGTCAGGAGCCTCAAGTAGGAGGAATTCCTATTGTGATACCTCAGAAACACCCCAAGGGACAAACCATTCTCAAGGGACAGCTTCAGAGCAGAGCAATCACTGCTCTCAGCCTAAGGACACCCATCAGTCCAGGATGTTCCAACCAAGATCAATCAGGCTTTACCTACAGACAAAACTTTGTTACAAAACAATGAAAAATCCGTTTATGGTTGTCATATCCCTTTATTAACAAGGAAAACACTGATATCATAGTTGATAACTATGATAAATGATATCATAGTTGGGTTCAGTTAGAAGGACCTTAAAAGATCATCAAGACCAAGTGACATCCCTGTCCTTGGAGAGGACAGCCAGTGCTCTATCTCTAAATAACATTTCATAAGGCTGTCCAGGAAGGTGACTAAAAGGCAAAAGGCCCAAAGTAATCATTCATTCCCTTTACAGAATTCAGAACAGCAGTTCACTCAAAATCAATTATAGTTTTAATGTCATGATCAAACACTGAGTTTTTATATCTGTTACTCATCAACCACTCCAGAACTCCTGGAAAAAGCTGTTTTATACAAAAAATGTCACACTTAAGACTGACCTACTTTGCAAATGCAAGAATAAAAGAAAATATTTAAGCTAAGAGTGATCCAAAGCTTTATGAAGTGTTTGAAGTTGAAGCGGGTGGAGACACAGGATGGAAACTTGTCTGAGGAGCAGGAGCTGTACCCATGAAATAGAGGCTGTGGCCAGAACAAAGCTGCAACTTCAAGAGGGATGTGATAGGGGAGGAAATCCCCCAGCTTCCAGCACTGCCTTCAGGGAAGGAGGGCAGATGAATCACTTTGTTTTGGCACTGAGGGACAGCCCAGGAAGGCCCCATGACCCTCCTGATAATGTTCCTCTCCTCCAAGCCTCACCAAAAGGTCCTGGACACTGTGTGGAGAAAATGACTTTCCACCACACAGCAATGAAAAACAAGCTCTGACTTTCAATTACACCTCAGAACCAAATCGTTCATCCATAAAAACATTGGTGTATTTTCCAGTAAGTAGCTGAGAGCCAGAGACAAAAAGTCTGTGGCTTATGGCTCTCCCAACCCCCTGATGCCAAAGCACCAGCACCTGGAACCTCAGCCTGGCTCTGCAAACCTTCCAAAGGCTTGCACAGGGTTTCAAACTGGCTCATTTAAAGCAGAAAAATATATTTTCTTTTATTCCCTAAAGGTCACATAGTTATTTCTTCCAGCTACAGAAGTTCAGCACAGAAAGGGAAAAGTCTCCAACTATTTACATCAACAGACTTCCAAGAAAACTGGCATTTAAAAATCCTACCCCAAAGGAAAATACTGAGCATTCAGCTCACATGTTTTTACAAGAGTGACAATGACTGAAGTCACAGCGTGAGCAGCTGGTGTCTCACAGCAACCCAAAACATTTCCTAAATGCTGAGGTGAGGAAGCACATTCCAGCTCTCCTGGGAACAGGAGCTGGAGTGCCAAGTGACGTGGCACAACTCCCACCCAGCCCTTCCCCTGTCACCTCCAGCCAGCACAGGAATCACAACAGAAATATGAAGGCAGCGGCAAATTTGAGCAACCCACCTTTCATCAAACCCAAAACACTGCTCAGGTGTTCGACAAATGCCCTGCAACCTCACACCTCAAGGAGGAGGAACAGACTCT